CCCTAAATCAGATGGTTTAGATGTTCAAGCTTCAGATTGTAAGTAGTCATTTTGATCCTCATGCGAAAACTTGAAGGAATATCTATATTGCAGTCAAAAGTATTAAAGCAGCTCTAGGAAACAAGCCTGAGTTGGCTTGGTTACTATTAGAAGTGTACTCAAGATGGAGAAAAGTTCAGAACAAACTGCAAAACCCATGCTCCTGTATGTATGTATGTATATATATATATATATGTATACAGTCAGTGGTTACCTGATACTGAGCTCTACATTACCACAGCCATAATGCTGCTGGAACCCGCTTAAGGATAAATTATGGTTTTTTATTAGAGGAAGTCAGATGCTTGACAAATAAAGATGTATCGACTGATAAAGCGCAGTAAGAACCAGTTTTGAAATATTAGAAAATGAGTTGATTGCACTCCTCAAGAAGCAGAATGGGACATGTTTTTCCAAGATTGCATCTTACAAAAAAAAGTAGATTCAGACAGAAAGTAAAATGTGAAGTGCCTGAGACATCTTGTATGGTTTATGCTGCCCAAGCCTAAGCTGTAACAAGGAATTTCAAAATATAAGGCAATTCTTATTGCAGCAGGAGCTGTCAGGAAGGAGTTTTATTGTAGGAACACCTTTCTGTTATTAGATAGTCATACTTGAAAATGCATATGCACTTTTAGAAAGGATCCAGTGAGCACAAGTCACAGAGAATGTAATGACAGGTTCAGATTATGTAACTTCGGAATTAATGAGGGTACATAAAAGATGTAATAACTTAGTAACGTAGGCCCTGAATCTCACTTATAGGAAAGATGTTTTGTCTTGCTGTGTTTAAATCAAGTAAAATTTCTCCAGTGGAGTAAAAGGTTGTACATGTAGACAAGTTTAAAGCTTTTTTTTTTTTTTATTTTTTCAGCCATATTTACAATTTGCTTAGTATAATCTGCAGACTGTTTGTGATTAGAAAATATCTTGTCTCCAAGCAACTTGTGGCACTGCAATAAAGTACTTTAAAGAAACAATTCAACATTTGCCATTTTATCTTATTGAAAAACAATGGAGCTTTCTGTACCTCTAGAATTTCCAAACAATAGTAAATGTTCAGATTTGTTGCTTCAGTAAGAACAGATTTTAAAACACTTCTGCTTTGATATGAATAAAGTTTATGGCATGAAGCTCTTCAATTTGCCCTCTAGCAGTGACATCATCTGTCTCTACAGTAATTACAGTAGCAACTAGACACTGCAGCAGGGTTTTCTGGTGCCTATGGTAGACAGTAGTGCACACACAGCCCTTTTCACCTCAGTCAGCAACAACCTCCTCTCATTGAATTGATTTTATTTGGGACACTAATGAGACACTAATGCTTCTTCATCAGAAATTGCCAAGTATTAATACTCAAACTGATAAACATGAGTTGATATTGAAATAAGAGCATATGACTTGAACTATTACATTACATGGTCTCTTTTATGACTAGGCAACTTCACCTTCAAGGGATTAGAGCACTGGAAAGACCTGCAAGATCATGTGTAGGACATCAGGTCAGCTGGAAAAACAGTTTAAAAGACTAAATCCTGTTTTGCTAATGTCTGTTAACATCTCTTGTAGAAAGCTACTTCTTCTCCTGAGAGTCAGTGCATTATCAATTCTTTCCATCCTGCAGACAGAGGTTCCAGTGGTCTTTTAAAAAATCTGTAAAAAGCCATTTATCAGCTCAAAGTAGATAGAGACAAAAAATAATTGTCCTGGCTTCATCTCTGTATATATATAGCTGCAGTCATGTGCACGTCCAAAAAAAGGTAATTTCTTTGTGCTCTGTTTACAGCAGCTAAATCTCTTGCTCTCCTCCTACAGTGAGCCCTTGACTTCAGAGGACACAGCAATTCTCCTAGCTCATCTACCCTATAAGCTAAAACTATGGAAAGAAAAGTTGTAAAATGCAGTCTGATCATAAAGTCTTTTCTTTAGAAAGATGAGAATAAATGTGGACTGTAATTTAAGGTCCAAACTGGTAAGCTTTCCATTCTCTAATATACAAGTGTTGACAGCTTTTGGATCAATAATTACAGGCAGACTAGCAAAATTCCATAATACCCACAACTATTGAGCTGTCTGAGGACAGTGCCAGTACTTCTTAGAAGTGGAGGTCCTTCATTCTTTCCATTCTAAGGCATTCTCACAGTTTCTCCTGGCTGCTCTTCAGGAAGCAGCAAGAGCTGAAAGAGATTTGAAGCCTACACCTTACTCAGCATTTTTGAAACACATGCATTTATAGATGTGATTAGTGAATTACTGTTTTACTTGTTGTACAACAGTTTTCTTCACTTGTTTTATTAGAATCTATATACAGAGATACTTTTACAGCACGGACCGACTCCTCCAGGGCAGTCAAATGAACAATTCAGACATAGCATGTTACACGTATATAGATGAGATAATTTGCTACTGATACAAGCAGCACTACATGAGAATCTTCTGTATCCTCTGTAATATGGTGGTGGAAGAGAGCTTTATCAATCCATTACCCACAACAGACAGACTCCTCTTTTCTTGGTACAAGAAGATGTAGATGAAAAAGCACAGTAATCTGGAATACTCTTCAAATAAAGACATAGAAGTGCCCTTTTGCTAAATGAAGGCCTAATTTTTCACTTCATTCAGTTAAATGTTTGGAAAGAAGGATCTGAAAAAGACAGGTAATACTAAACCATGCATGCTGTGGTTAGCTCATCTGCAGCACAGTTACAGAGTTGTCTTCTCTTGTAAAGGTATTTGCTTTCACCTCTGAGTTACTGATAGGATATAGGTGAAGGACAACAATAGAGTGAGTACTATAAGCTTAATTTTACATATTGTAATGACCAAAATATTTGGCCATGTATGTGAACCAAATGAGCTATTAATTCCCTTGAACCTTGAACTCCTTATTCTAACTACCACACTTGAACCTCAGTGTATGCACCAAGCATAATCTCTGCTGATTTATCTCTCTTCCTTTCTGACCATACATTCAGTAATATCAATATTATAAAAAAAAACCACTAGCTGGGCTGCTTGGTCTGTTGTCTGGTTGAGGTTTCACTATGGTTTGAATGCCAGCCCTCTGTAAAGACTACTCTTCATTATGAAATACTGTTGTCATTAATGACTGCCTGACTTGAGCCCTAAGAAGAATCCTATACTCTGAAGAATTGCCAGCCAGAGTACAATTACCTAATATTTATTCACCTGATGCTTCAAAAAAATAACTCTGAACAAAATTCGGAGATTTTAGGAGATTTTCATAACCATAGCTTGCTTTTGTAACCAAAGCAGACTGAACATGCAAAACAAACTTCCTTCTTTATTTCAATGAAGTAACTGCCACTTTGGAGAGTGCAGACATTGTCTGACTCTTCTTAAGTGCATTATTTATAATAATGTACCTCTCTGGTTTACGATGTATTTTTAAAATCTAGTCTATATTTGTCATCAGAGAAAACACAAAGTCTAATATGAGGGTCTTGATGATAATAGGCCTTGACTATACAAGAAAGAGCTGTGTATCCTGAAATAACAATGACAAACTTTAAAAGAACTGCATTGCAGAACAGAAGAATGTTACAGATTCTTATCTGTTTCAAGTAAATTCTAAGAAAACTGGAAATACTATAGGAATGGTAATAGGTATGGGTTTGGGAGATTTCTAATAATCAAATATAAAAATTTTGAAAATGGATTCTTCTGTCAAGAAGTCCTGAAGTTACTCTTTCTGTTCTTCTCAGAGATGTTTTTGTTTTCCACCATGTGTTCACATGTTCACTGAGACCTTGTAAATGTTACTGTGACAAGATCACTCCCGATTTCCCCTGAGCCTGAAAGAGCACATAGGAGGGAGGAAGTAGGGGAATTGTGCATAGCTGGACAATACCCCATTCTCAAACCAATCTTTTATTTATACACTAAGCAACTAATATAGAACACAGAAAGCTAACATGACACATGGAAAGGAAATGTTTAAAAAAAAAAAAGTTTCATTGTGTTTCATCATGTATGACTTCTAAAGAAATTTTAAGGGAGATAAAAGCAAGAGATTTCATCTTGAATACGAATGTCATAATCTTAGTCTAGCCAAATAACACAGTCAAAATGTAACATAGCCTGAGCAGGAAAGTAGATCCAAAAGAACTATGATTCTGCATATCCATGGGATGTCCCACTAACCATCAGCAGAGCCTAAAGGGTCAGTCTCAAGAGTTAGCTTAAATATAGAGGCAGCTAAAATTAGCATAATCTTAATAAAAATGTAAATTCCATAATGTTTGGTTATTTTGTACTTTTATAATGCATTTCCTAGTATGAAAATCTATTTGTTTAAATTCTTTTGCTTTCAGATCTTGTCTGGTAACAAAACAAGTTTTAAATAATCTGGTGAATGCTAAATAAATCATTCCATAAATCAGATCCAACATTTTTGCATAGTGGATGGGCAGCTCCCCCAAGCTGCCAACCATTGGATTATGTGATTTCCAGCAGTCTGTGGACAGTCCTCTATTTTGATACAAGAGCCTAGTTCTAGGTAGGTAATGAAATGTCTTGGTATACACTAGATAGAATCTGACAGTCAGCAAAATAATGGCATGAGAAACAAGTGTGATGGGGAAGGCAGTCTGTAAGCACCACATGCTTCTATTGAAATGAAACATATGACACAAAAGGCAAGGCATAAGGTGCATCCTTAAGTACATTAATTACTAGCAGCAGGGCATTGGGAAAACTCCTCAAGGTGAATTTAAATTCAAAATAAAATCTGCTATAAAGAGAAGAGATTTGTTCCACCTTAACATCATTTAGGTAAGGGGTAAGCAAAAAAAAAAAAAGAAAAAGATGTTTTGTCAGAAGACTGGATCCCAGCTTTTTGAGTACTGTTCAGAAACTGCTTTGTGTATGTAGAAATCAGTAGAGGCTGTGGTGTATCCACAGACATCCTCAGATATATAATTCCATGTGTTAAACTCTAATTTGGTTAAAAAACTCCTTGGGGTCTTGGGAGTTTAAAGGGATTTCCAAATAGTGACAAATCTACAGGCATACTGCTGTGTAGAGGTGTCAAAGCCATGACAGCGCTGGCTTTCTGTCAACAGCAGCAAATCCTCCAAAACAAGATCGAGGTCACCCAGCTGCTGCAGGGCAGGGTAACAGCCACAGTTACTCTAGGAACTGATAACACAAGGCGTGTGGGAGCAACATCCCGTCGCCTGGCAAGTGCTGACTTGAGTATCCCCGGCATGCTCTGTGAAATTAGGCAGACTGCTTGAACCTTAGGAGTCTCCCCACCTTTACAACTCTTCTCATCACCTTTAACTGCAGCCCCGTGAGCATTAAGAAGGGCTGAGTCACAGCTTCCTAAGGATTACTGGGAGCAGTCTGCCACCTACTGCTTAGACAAGATCTTGGTGTTTGCAGCTTCCCACTTATCGTAAGAAATCCTGTTTTCATAATCGTAAGAAATCATAAGAAAATTTGTTTTAAAAGGGATCTAGCCCACTCTGATGCTTCTGAATCTGAAGCTAAAGTCATCTTGGATGGTAAAAGGTCAGTTCTGCCGTTCCAGAACTAACTTCTGTTTCAAAGGAGTAGAAAATACTATTAACAATTTTCTTCTAAACAACATGAAGAAAGTTGATAGGTAAGTTAGTGTCAAATGAACATATCTTGCTGACTCAGAAAATACCAGACTTCACTACTACACTCAGGGGTTAACCTGTGGTCTTCTTTTTCACAGACAAAAACTTCTACTCAGTCATAATCAATGGCAAAACTTCAGAGGATGATTGTTCTTCTGACCTCTGTTAGCCAGTGTTCATCTTGATCTGTTCTAAATTCCCATAGCCAGCTAATACAACAGACACCTTAAACGGAAGAACAGAGGAAAAACATCTTTGATCAGTTTGCTGTTGATTACAGGCTTAGCTGTGCTGTATTAAATTTGCATGCTGACCACAGACTTTCCACCTGCATTTTCTTACCTCTTGTTGAGGAGTCAGTGATATTACAGGGATGAATCCAACCCATTGTATTTGGCCACTTCACCTAATACTGGGAATTTCAGCTGGGCATTTTTCAACACTTTGTTATCTGAAGTCCAATGCTGTTGCCACATAGAGATATAAGCCTTCTTTCAAAACCAAAGAAAGACATGGTTGTTCTAGAAACAGATGTTCAAAGCCTAGCACATTTGAAACTTTGTATATTTTTAATTCTGGGAAAATATACAACATAAAAATTTTAAAACCTCAAGCTATTAATGGCTAAGACTCTAGTAATTTGACAAATAATTAATGGCAAGGAAATTCCCACTTCCAAATTCTCCTTCAAGACCTTGTACTAATATAAGTATAAAAAACAGTGATACATTGTAAGCAAACTTATTGTTGTAACAGATTTGTATTGCTTTTAATAGCAGTATTTACATTTTAAAAGGTACTTCTTGAGGTAGATGAAGTCAATGATCAGAAATTAATTAACTTTGTGTTGCCTCCTGCAATACAGACCAATGCTGCTTTTTAGCCCATTCAGACAAGACACAAAGAAGAGATACACAAGGGTATGTATGAGATAAAAATAGCAAAGAAAATGTGAAGATATGCAAAACACTTGCCTGGAAGCCCCTCCTGGAAATCCTTACCTGTGGGATTACTCATCACACATGCATAGTTCCACTGACTCTGATCCCTCACACTAAGAACACTCACCCAAGCAAAGGCTGGAAGAGGTAGGTCCTTCTAGATGGTAAAGGCAGGAGCAGTGAAACAAAGAACAATATGGTAAGCTACAAATATTTTGCATTTTTGGGCAGAGGGGTATTAAGTCTCTGTAGGAAACCGAGAGGAAGAAATTAATTATCCTAGAGGGAAGAAAATAACACAAATGCACAATGAAACAGTAATATTCTGCATAGGGATCCCGGAAGCCACAAAGTAAAAGGAAACAGAATCCCATGTGTTGAGCTGGTTACAAATTGGAACACTGTCAAATGCAGCTTCAGGCTTTTTAATTTTGCTTTTAATCAGCAAAGTCCATGCTGTGTCCCTGTTTACTTGGTGAACTAAAATAAATTTAGGGCCACAACTGAACAGTTTGTCCTTTGTCTGCCATGTGCCAACTCATCACTTAGTGCTTCTGTCAAAAGCTACATTAGTTTTCTTAAAAAACAGGGTGCGCCAGCTCTCTCAGCACTGGTCAGAGAGAAAACCAAATTTTATTCAAAGACATAATTGCTAGTCACTTTTACATAAGAAAATAACAGCAAATAAATTAATTAAACACTTCCTTTTCTCTTAATGACTACCAAAATGTTACTTTATTCAAATACAATATACTAACAATTCACTTTTAGTCTATTTCTATATAAGAGTATTCTATACTTTACTTCACTGCGATCTTATTTGTGCAGAGAAAAGTTTTCTTGTTAGGGTCATATAATTTCAGATGATAAGATTCACACTGAAATAATTAATCAGCATATCTGGTGTTATGAAAATAATTACCTCTTCATAAAAAGATTCAGTTTGAACATGATTAGTAGTTAAAAAAAAAAAAAAAAAGGCTCAGTGCCTTTTTGGCTAACAAACCACTTGTTTTGCAGATTGTGGGTGAAAAACGTCAGTAAAAAGCTTGAGAAATTATGAAATTGGCTTATATATTCATGAATTTTATTCCTGACTTTCCTATAGTGGAAGATATTCTTCCTCTCAAAATGCAACTTGGACCAGAAGACAAATAAAATAATTCTGTGATTTTATAATAGTGAACATGGCTCTTTTCATGGCTGTTATAACATCACCCCTACTGAAGGACAGTTCAAGCATTTTTAAACTTAGTCTAACCTCTTCTCGAGTGGATAGCACTTACTTGCTGACCAAGTAATTCAATAAGCACACTAGCTAATTTCACTTCACCGTTAAGTAAAAAAGCTGATTAATTCATATAATCCAAAACTGGTTATTAGTATAGTACAATAATAATTTGTATTTTCCACAAATTAAAATGTATAAATAAGAATGTATTTGAGCTTCTTTTGTTACATGCCTCCCCACCATACACTAAAAATAGGACAGCAGAAGTTCAGAGGAATTTGGCCAAAAAAAACCAAACTAGCACTAAATAAGGTTACATAACTGTCCATATGCTTATGCTTAAAAACAACAGCATATGCCTTATATACTACTTGATGGTCACGATCTGTGTCAAAGCAAAGCAAAAGGAGTGGGAAGATAATATGGATAGCATACTGCCTGAAATGGATGCTAGAAGGGGTGTTAACTTACTGCTGTTAACTTTCTGCCTTCCTGCTTGTGCTTTCTCACATTCATCTACTTCTGTTTCCATTAATTCAGCCAAAAAACCCAGTGATCTGGATATTAAGGGTGAAATACCTTTTCATCACCAGAATCTAAAATACCAGTATCCCTGCAAGACTGAAATTGGTAAGTGACTCAATGATTTGGTCATAATGAAAAAAAATGAAACCAGCAACAGCATGAGGGAAATGAAGGTGAAACTGTAACGATCTAAGAAAAAATATCTACCAACTCAAAAGAAAAGAGAAATTTCCAAAATACTGCTTCTGCTTATTACAGGAAATGGGAAAGAGCTGAAAATCATGCTGACAGATGCTCTTTTTATGACTCACTGTGTCCGGCAATCTTACATTGTAGCTGTCATTCAATAATGGGGGAAAGACAAAGTATCAGCTTCTCAATGTCCACAGCTTGCAATGCAGTTTAGCATTACTGCAGTATACGTTACACCTTCCTTCTGTTGTTAATATAATCTGATTATCACTCTAAATAGCTCATAACACAAGCTTTATAAACACCTGTGCCCATCTCTTCAGAGCCTTCTTCCAAGGAGAGGGTGTGTTGCCTAGGAATATTCCCCACCCTCCTCCAGACCAGCACTAGCAATCACTGATGTTAAAGAGAGAGCTTAAAACATCTCTCATATAAATGAAGAGACCTCTTGCCTGTGAACAATAAAGGTGAGAGATTATGCCTATAGGGAATACCAACCACCTCTGTGGGTTCAATCACTTTATTTTTCTTCACAAGCTCCACAATGTTATTTGGAGATTCAGAGTCAAGGACTGCAGGGTAATCGCGTGTGATCTCTAAGATCTGAGATCTGTTTGCATCGAGGAGGAAGCACACTTCCCAGAATCAAGGCTTTTCCTGGCTCCATCAGGAGTTTCAGGTCCAAATGTCAATTAAATCAGATGCATCATGTGTGTCAGTGTGTGACGTGCCAGCTCTGCCATGCAGGGACAGGGTGGCTTTGTGTGTCACGCTTTCCTGAGGCAAGTTACACTAAGTTGTAAAGCTACACACAGGAATATAGCCTGAAATACCATCACTGATGATTTTTAGGCATTCTGACTGAAGTGAGCTGAAAGGAAAGTCACTATAGTTAATTTCCAGCTTTTCATAGCAAAAAAGGGACAGGGGATGGGAGAGAGCAGCTTAAGTAGCCTAGTAAGATGTGAATACTACAAACCACATACACACAAAGCTACACTAACTTTTGAAATAGCTGTAAACAGTTTCTTTGGCGAGCAGGATTAGATAGTGATTGGATAGTGGTTTGGATAGCCTTGAAAATGTGGAAAGCAGCAGGTGATGGGCATCCCATTTTCAGTGCTATGGTCCTGGAGCTAGGGGTGCCTGGTGTAATCTCATAATGAAACTTCTGAATGCTTTGAAAAAACTGAACAGAGCTCAATAAAACAGCTCTTGAACTAACATGGAATTTTTTGTCTTCCAGCAATCAGATCATTGCATTCTGTCTTACTTCAGAATGTTTATAAAACCAAAATACATTTTTGCAAAATCTGCCATGAAAATATGTATCCAGTTGTGTATCATGCATATAGGGCATTAAGCAATTATTGGGGTGGGGGGTCTCTAACAGGTATACAGATAAGGCTTGAGATTAAATTGTTATAAAAGCAACACAGCTTTCACATATTATGCAACTTAGATCTTTCAGCTAGAAGCCTTTTCATTGCTGCTACTATTGGTAGTGATCTGTTCGCAGATGAATTAGTGTTGAGGAATGTTATTAGGCAATAAAATGTTCTTTTGTTTTTGTGATAATGTCTTGCAGCTGTATCATTCATAAATGGTTAGTGCGCATTTCTCAGCTAGCAGTCATTCTAAATGGTAAAGAGCATACTACTCTACTATGGAAGCTTTTAAAAAAACCAAAAACCCCCAAGATTAAATATTCTTTCTGATTTACATTCTTTCTCACAAGGCTATAATTTCAATGGCTTGGCCTTGCAAGTCATGAGATCATAATTTCCTCTGTTGTTCTCTGTGCTTCACAAAGAAATTGTGATGAAACTGGATATGCTCAAGAACATTCTTGCTCTCTGAAAATAGTAAGACTTCTAGAATCATCTGAGACACTGTGGGCAAGGTTAATAACTCCCGTTTGTTGTTTTGTCCACAATTAGTTCTATTGGACATTATAATCTCACTTATTTCTACTTTTGAGATTTGACCCCAGGCCGGGGAATCAGAGAATTAGTACTTACTTTTCCCCTATTGCTCTACAGGCTGCAGTGATGAATCAAGAATATATAAGTGACCCCTTCATAACTCTCGCTTATGAAAACTGAATTGTGTAAGCAACAGGAACCTTTTGCTTGGTTTTCAAAGGCCCTTTTGGTTTGGATGACCAAATTTAAATACCTGCACTGCAGGAATCTGCAGTGATTCTGAGTTCAACCAAAAAATTCCAATTACTGGATTTTCTTACTGTCCCACTAATTCGCTGTGCTCCTGAAATATTTCAGTGTTCAAAATAACTTTTTTAAACTTTTTAAAAATTTTTATTTTTTGTTACTCTAGTTTCTGAATATAAATTTCAGCCACTCTGTCAATATCCAGTTTCTCAAATTAATAGCATTCCTACTCCTGGACTAGCATTTAAATTTAACTTTCCATAAAAATCAACTTTCAATAAATAAACTGATAATGAATTTGACAATGCAATGTCTTAAGTATGTGAATTTTATAAGATAGGAGCATGTACTAGAATACTTAAGATATAGAAAAGTTGACATGTCACACTGTCACACAGATCAATACATTGAATAAGCCTGCAAGGTACACTGTCATCTCTTTTTGTTCTCATGTCTATTAAAAGAGACAGGGAGAGATCAAATAGTAATTTTATTTTTTACGGGAGAAATGAACTTTTGCTAAAAAACACTTGATTTTTAAAGGTTGTGTTAGGAAACTTGAAAATATACACAGGAATACACAGAAAAAGAAACATTAATGTACTTTCAACTAGTCAAATATTAGAAGCAGAAGGATGTTGAGAAAATAATTAATTCATATTTCTGGAGCACTCAGTGTACTGAACAATGTCACAGAAATGTCAATATGGAAATTAGTAAGCTTGAATATTCTGAAGCTTGAATAATAGAGCTGGTATAGTGTACACTAAATAAATCTTGGGCCAGCAAACTGAGCAATGTGAATAGAACACAGCATAGCATCCATGTGGAATCCATGTGGATTCAACGAGTGCTTTCATCTGGTGAAGTGAATTTACTTTTTTCCCATGGATAAAAATTATACACAAGCATGCAATTATTTGCAAAGGCAATCCAAATAGTCTGGAATTTATTAATTCTAAAAGACTTTGAGTTTACAATGTCAATACTGCATAGTTATTTATGTATGTAAATGCATAATTCTCTAGGTTTATTTTTTAAATTCACATAGTTAAGATGTAGGATTATATCATATACCACATCTAGATCTGCAACACAGATCTCTGATTGGTATTAATAATAACTAATAACAGAACTAAGTTGAGATCCACTATAGAGGATGTCACATCCCAATGGGCATTAGGTTTCCCAGCGTGTTATCCTGGAAAAACTGTGGTTTCCAGTTTAGCAGACTGTTGTGGGTACTGCCTCTTGTCCTGTCTTTTGCAACTGTTGCTCTCTAAGCCGTTTCTCCCACTCCTTGCTTCTACATTTGAATCTTCCTATCATCCTATTCTACTCTCAGATCAACCCCTATCTCCTTCCTAGACATTCCCAGTCTTTCTTCTCAGCTATTTGTATCATTAACAGTGTTTTGGTAGGCCAGATCTAGATATATCTTCTCCTTTACTTTCCCTCTTCTGTCAGTTGTCTGTATCAGTTTTCTTGAGAAAAAGTCCTCCCTACATAAGCACTTCTTATGTTCACAGTATAATTTTCAAAAATCATAGCCTCACAGCTCTTTCCTATCTTCCCAGTTCTCAAGTCTAACCTGCAGAAACTGACTGATTACTCTTCTCTCTCAGTTGTTCAAGATATTTCTCCATCCTATGGGTCCCATGTGCAAAACCCACTCCTACCATGCTGGCCAGTTCTGCTCCTCCAGGACTCCAATTTCTTCTTTGCATAGGCCCTCACCTTTATCACAGCCTGCAATGCTTCTTTGTGTTTCAGGGCACTTCCCTGCATGGGCTGTGTGTCAAAAGTGGGAAAAAACATCACCTGGGACATCCACAGTACCTTTTATCCCAAAATGGTCCCCAGGAGTCAGATATTTCAAAGAACAGTTTACCTTAAGCAGGCTTGCAATGCTAAGGTGAAACATTCCCAAGACGAACTAAGTATATGGGAATTTTCATTGTCATTTTATCAAGGTTTCCACTGAACATATGTGTATAGATTTTTTTCAACAACCTGACTAAATGCAGTCAAAAGAATATGTAGTTAAAGACTTATTCTATGAATTGGTTGCTATTTTGTTTTACGTGCAATAAACAATACATTTCTCCTTTACATTTTCCTTTGAAAAGATACAACTACACATTTTTTTAAACAGAGTAATTTCGTTATGAACTGCTACATCATTGTACATTACTATTAAGTTCCATGAAAATATTCTTTTTACTGTGAATGACATCTGAGATTTTAAGCAAATCTGATATATTCACTTCTCTTACACCAGATGTAACTAATTGCAAAATATTGCAACTAATATTGGAACTTATCTATTGGAGGTAAAAGAGTTAAAAGATAATTTGTAGATTATCTTCAAAAGACACACCAGAGAGACCAGGTAAGACAAGGATATAGATGGACCAAGAGCTCAAAAGTTAATATGTATTTACTGCACATGGGTCAAGGACAAAATGAAAGGATTATCCAAACAGAAGAGGAGTTATTGGAGGAATGCTATGAACATGAATACAGATTGGCATGCATTGCTGTATTGAAGATACATATTAATTATTTACCAAAATTTATCACAAAGTTAATTAGCTTAGGCTGCAGTTATTATTAAGCCATTAGCTAAGATAACAAACAAGTCATCATTTAACAAGTCTATCAGGAAATATAGAATTATTAATGGAGAGCATCCAAAAGTTACCTGCTAATTAATGTCACAGATAAGACAAATTATCATTACTCTCTGCATTTATTTTTAGACAAAATATGTCAAGATACATAAAAATTTGATGTGAGCTTTCAACAGCTGGCAGATTGTCAGCATAGTCCTAATGCATCTTTGGGATAACAAAGAATAGAACAAAGACTGATGCAGGAATGTGGGTCTGATTCCCAAAAGGCCCTCTGTGTAACCTGCATTTTGCTATTTACAAAATGGCACTTACAACAAAATAGCATTTGCAACAGTTTTGCAGTAAAAGAGACAAGATCCAGGACAGAGGTTTCAAAAGGCCCCCCCCTTTCAAAATCTTTGTTACCCTTCTCAGTCAAGTACTATAATTAGTCATCAAGGGATTACTGTTATTGTTATTTAACCATCTAAAAATTACAATTATTAAGCATATTTTCTCTTAGTTATCCTAAATTCATTCTGAGCTGTGGTGTACCTTTTAGATCCAGTCTTTAAGAAGACTGGATAGATCCCCGTCACTTCATGGCAGAAAAACAGTAGCTGACCTTAGAGTAGATGGTCCTGCACCTTCCAATGCTGAAAGTTAAGTAAGAGAGTAAAGTAACTATTCCCAGTTCTAGCAGGAACTTATTTTCTTCTAAGACAAGGAAGGGTGGAAAAAATCTCTCATTTGTCCAAACAGACCCAAAATTCTGCCCTACCATTATAAACAGTACTAGGAAGGGAAGTTAATTTGTCCATTTTTTGCTGCTTGCAGGCTAGGTAAAAACTTGTTCTTTTTTAATTGCAATAAGCCACAATAAATCTGTCTTAAAAGTAATAGGATCTCTGCTGTTATAGGTTGTATTTGCAATCACAATATTTGCTGTTGCTGTAGAGAATCTTAGCATTGGCTCTACAGTACCTCTACTGTAGCTTACTTGAAGAACTCAGCCATCCTAAACCTCAGTCTTTCAGAATAGGTGCTGATCACAGAAATAGCCAGTGGACTATTAATTATTTAGGGGTGGACTAGAACTCTTCATTCCTTCCAGATTTCCATAATTGGATGGTAAGGAGACCTTGCTCTCTAGACTGGAGATGACCTGAAGTCTTTTGCAAATGGAAGTAATTAAAAGGACAAGGTCATATTGACATTTGCAGTACTTCAGGTGAAAGATCTGGAAGAACTGAAATTGGGTTTGTTTCTCCAAAGTGGATTGAAGCAATTTAACATTTTATCTTTCAAGAAGGCATAAAATCTGTGTTTTGCTATTCTTATTTTGATAATGAGAATGGCTCTGATATGATTTCTGACTCTGTAAGTGACTGGGAAAACGATGGGCAAAACACTACCTGTGTCACACACAGGTAACAACAAAACTGCCATTAACATTAATGGAGCAAGGATTTTGTTCACTTTCTTTTTAAATTAAAACAGCAACATTTTAAATTTGAGGTGATAAAAGTACAATTTTTATATTCCAGCATTTTCACAAACCTTTGGTTAAACAGAAAAATGAGATCCTATATCTAAAAATATTCAACAGTATTATTCCACAAGAAAAAATGACCAAGCAATCCAGAATGTTTTTTCCGCATACAAGGTAACTTCACGCATACTTTACAGTTAGACAGTAATGAAATCCTGGCCTACTTTAATTTCTGAAAGACACTCTTGTACAATATAATTTCCATAATTTCCTGTCACAACTGCTAAACACATCTTTCTTGTTCGCTTCTTCTCTGACAAAACTATTATTTCACTATCTCTCAAATTTTCTCTTTCTTAATCTCTGTCCTCCTTTCCTTTTATCAGTTGTTTGCATTAGATCCAAAGTTAATACCACTACTTATGCAAAAGCATGTCCAAAATAAAGGAAAACACAGTTACTGAAATACTAGCTTGAGCTGCATAAATATACTGAAATATAATCTGTGCTTTCTGATTAAAATCCATCCATGAAAACATTGATTACTAGTTTGTTACATCGATTTCATTATGCAAGTGGCATCTTTGTTCCTGAGTAATAAACAGCTAACAAGCTGTTGCTTTACTTGATGTATAATGCAAAATAAGTACTGAGACAAAACTGACACCCCTGAACCAAAAACCCTCTGAGCCAACTAATCAACAAAACCAGAAACCACTCCAAATCTGTCCAAAAACTCTTCCATGCACTCCAAGAAACTCTTCCGAATCATATGACCTCCCTCTGAAATTAGATTCCTACAATTCCTAGTATGTTAATAAATCATTAAATCTTTTTTTTTCCCCTCCCTTTACGTTCTGTAACCAAAAGCAATTTATCAGCTTCCCTGAAGTAATGTTATTTTCCCATCAGTGCTATTTTATCACAGTGATCCAGATTCAGAGGACTAGATTTATCAGAAGAATGTCTGACTAGTATTTAAATATCTAAAGTAAAATATAAGACAGATAATTTATCACATAATCACAGAATATCCTGAGTTGGAAGGGAACCATAAGGATCATCGACTCCAACTCCCAGCCCTGCACAGGACACCCCAAGAGAGTCACACCTTGTGCCTGAGAAGTTGTCCAAATGCTGCTTGAACTCTGTCAGGTTTGGTGCTGTGACCTCTGCCCTGGGGAGCCTGTTCCAGCCCCCAGCCACCCTGCGGGTGAGAATTTTTCTCCTGATATCCATCCTGAACCTACTCTGACTCACCTTCATGCTGTTTCCTAGAGTCTATACGATGATGAAAGGATATTAAAGGATATTAAAAAATTTTCATTCCTGTGCTTTTGGTATTTTTTGCCAAGATAGTTAGTTCCACTTACAGTTTTTTCCTCACTTTTCCTCTCTTCATCCGCAGACTGCTGATATATGATGACACTGCTTGAAGGGAAAGGCCACAGTATTCTAATGCAGGTAATATTTAAAAATATTCTAAGTATTTATGTCAAACAGTAGGCATTTTAAGGAGCTTGTGTTATAGTGCTGCCGTAGGTTACAACATCTTTGGGAAATCTTATATCTGGTTCAGAATATGGGGAAGTTGACAGGGAGCTCAAGAGTCCCGTAACAAATCTGGAGGGTGGTTCGCCAACCACATAAATCAGTGATTCACTTTCCGCAGCCTTAATGTGGCATTTTAACATCGCTTTTACAGTCACGTAAGTAATGTGCATAATTAAACAGCGTGCTCCGGCTTTTTAACTGTCCAACGCGCTTTTCACGGCCTGGAGACGCTCGGGCGGGAGCGCACCGGTCACCGACACTCCTGAGGGGACGCGCAAGGGGAGCGCGGAGAGGAATTTGCCCCCGGCGGCGCGGCGCCTGCGCACGGAGCCATGCCGGTTCCCGGCAGAATAAGGCAGGGCAGGGCAAGGGGCGAGGGTAGGAAGGAAGGAGGGAGGGAGGGAGCGCTGCGGGAAGCGGGAGGCAGCGCGGAGCACATCAGGTGACCGTGTCCCATGACGGCCCCGGGCCGCACGGCGGCTGCGCCGAGGGGGCGGTCTCGCTGCCCGTGCTAAGATGGCGGCCTCCAGCGCTAGGCTCTGAGGCAGTGGGAGCGGTGTAGCGGCTGCCGCCCGCCCGGCCGGCCGGAGGGTGAGGGGTGAGAGCTCCGCTCAGTGCCCCTTCGCCCTTATCGCCGTGAAGGCGCATTGCTGGTGGGGGCAGGTCCGGGCAGCGCGGGCTCCCCGGCCAGGTAAATCCCAGCGGCGGGGGATGTAAGGGGGCGGCGGCAGCCCCCGCCTCCTTCCACGGTCCCGGGCGCTGCTCGGGGCCGGCGGCAGCCCCCGCCTCCTTCCACGGTTTGGGGCGCTGCTCGGGGCCGGGTTGGCGGGCGGGGGCGCGCCCGGCCCGCGGGGCTGTGCGGGGAGCGGGGTCGGGGCTGGGGCAGCGCTCGCTCTGCCGCCCGGGGGCTGATGCTGCCGGCACAGCCCCGCTCCTGCCCCAGCCCTGAGGGGCCTGGGGCTGTGAGCCGGCGTCCCTTGCCCCAGCGTGGTACCTGCCGCCAGCCGCTCGCAGCCCTTCGCTTCCTGTATCCGAGCCGAGGAGAGGGCTGGGGTTGTTCTCCAGCCTCAGCCCGCCCGGTGCTTCGCTCGGCATGCCCCGCACCTGATGCAGCTTCTGTAACCTTCGGGCAGAATTTGTCCTCTTTCTTAGAGCAGTATTGACATGTCCATTAAGAAAAGACACGTTATTTTCCTCCTCCTACCCTCAGATCAAAATATACGCGTCAGGAGATGCTTTAGGAAATAATTTATGAAGGGTGGGAGAGATGTGGCAGAGATATGCTTTCACAGAGATGAGATTTTATTTCTTTTTTGAGTGCTGACAGTATGCCTGAAGAACATGAGCATAACTAGATGCACTTTCCAGAAAATCTACCCTTAAAGCTCTTATTTTGCCACGAGCATTTGGGTTTTTTCCATGCATGCTTTTAGCTTGCTTTTTGTTTTCTGAAACTCAAAACAAGTAGTCATATTGGATGGTTTTCTGTCTGCGGTGAGCTGCCAGAAGTCTTTCAGATAGATTTTCCTGTTAAGTGGTGTGAAGTTTGTGCCTTCATAGCTGTGCCTCTACTGAGGGCTGAGTTCTAGGCCATGAAAATGTTGTCTTAGCACTTCAGTTTGGGAGGAAGAGGTATTTTTTCTCTTTTTGGCTTGGTGCTCTCAAGCTGAGGTAGGGTTTGACTAGTCTACTTGGGGGGAAACACAGGCCTAGAAGTTTATTCAGAGACTTCCTGTGAATGCACTTAATCTCTGCTGTGTGGCTGCATTTGAAGTTAATGTAGTCTGAAATGTAATTTCTCTTTCTCTCTTGTGCTCTTTAGGAATAAGATTAGCAGTGGCTGGAGTAGATGCAATTGAGTAGATAACTGCTTTGTTTCATGTTATGTAGTGCTTGTTAGATAACACTGCATTTCAGAACATGGTCCTTGTTTTAGAATTTAAGTTTTCTGAAGCTGAAGACTTTTTTGTTGATTACTAGATTCGTCTGCATAGGCTACTTGCATGTAGTGACATCTGTTGAAAAGGAGGAGGCTGTTGAAGGGACTACTAGTGAGTTCAGTTTCATTTTAGGATTGAGTTAGGAAGATACTTTATGAACAGTCTGATGAATTAAATCAAAATAACAGGACTAGTATTATGGATGTGAAAATTATGCTTGGCTTTAGCCTGCTTCAATTCATAGATGTGCAGCTTGGTCTAATTCTAGCCTACTACAGACAGCCAAGTACCAGAACACTTAACTAGAAGTTACTGGTGCCTTTCTATTACTACTGGCAGTTTTTTCCACTTGCAGCAAATACCTCAGTGGTTGGAGACAGAGTTGCATTTCTGTCCCTGTGTGGTATAGACTTTCCAGAAACTTTAACCTTGTCTTTTGGCTTTATTGGAACACATTTTTTAGAAGATTTCTTTTGTATGTATTGCTTGCTTCTCTGGGTGTCATATGGTATTTTTCATAGTTTCCAAACACATACTTGTCCTGAGGGACTGAATCACTTTGTATTTCCAGATTTTAAGTGATATGCTGAGGCTTGGTCTTTAAAGCCAGATCTGTTTTTTATACTGTGGAGGTGACTTTGCTTTTAATTTGTTTGAAGCTCAGTAAGTGAAACTTATTGACTTAATAATTCTTCTGCTGGCATTCAACTGTGTCTTGAAGTGTTAACCTTCAACTGCTTAGCTTCCTTATTTGTTTCCAAAAAACTAATCTTGTGTCAAAAAAAGTAACAGCTCTCTTGCCTCACTAATAAAACAGAACATTATTCTGAAGAAATATGACAGGATTGATAAACTATGACTGGAAGGAACATTATTTTTTTTTTCTTCCTTCCCTTAGTGAGTATATACTTTTGTTCTGATACTTACTTGTCTAGCTGGTGAATCAGATTGGTTCACTGGTAAAGCAGAATGCTAATATAAATTTAAAAGAAAACCAGAATCTTCCACCCTTATTCTTATCCTTAACACTGATCCTCAGTGAGGGAATGGGTCACCTGGAGGATGGGCTCTAATGTCACCATCATTTTTGGCAGTAGTAAGGCTGAAATTCTCAGCCTGTTTCTGTTCTGGGCTGCCAAAGGTGGGATTGCTGCTATTACTGAGGCAGGTTACATGTAGGATCTGGTGGATTATCTCTTCCCCTTCTTACAAAAAGGACTGGGAGTTCCTACACTATAGATGAAACCTGTTTCTACAACTAATTAGGCTGTAGTACTTTAGAAGAGTACTGTTCAAGGAAGAAGAAAAGTTAATGCTTGTTAGAAAAATTCTGTCTGAAGGCAAAATGCTGCCACTTAGTGACCACAGCAATGAAAGAGGAGGTTGAAATGTAGACAGCTAAAACATTTCAGTGCAGGAAAACTCACTTATTTAAATAATGGTTTTAAAGCTACAGAGGTGTAGATGACTGGAAATCAGGCTCCAGACCTTTAAGGTAGCAGGCAGGTATGTAGAACCACAGAATAACAGAACCTTAGGGTTTTTTTAAGTGCTTTGCTCTCATTGCTTTCCAGTTGGTTCCTTTTTTTGTGCTCATAGTATGTCTTCTCTCTTCTCTCTCTCAGAAAAGTCACACTTGAGTTTGCTATGAGTATCTGTCCTGGTGTAGTAAAGACTTTCCAGGAACTCTAAATAGTATTCAGCTATGCTGGAATAAATTTTTAAAACAAAATCACAGTTTCTTATCTGCATTTCTCTTCCTCTTTTGCCCAAGAAACTTCAGTTTCTTATCAGCATTTATTTTACTCCTCCCTGCAGTGGGACAGAGTAATAATTCTATGTGGGGCTCTGAATCCTACCTTGTTAAACCTTTGTTTAAGAAAGATATTGAGACTTTGTAATAAGAGAGAGATAATATAATCAGGAAAAAACTCAACTTTGAACCCCTGTCCAAACTTCTCACTTTATTTAATAAATTGAAGGAAACTTACGTGTAATTACAGCTCTGCCTATTGTTTTGATGAATGCAAGGTCACAGCTTTTCTTCTGACTCCACAAGTGCTGGTTTGAGACTGACTTGTCTCAGTTTCCTGAAATAGATTGTTTTCCCAGATGGTAGTTTTGTCTCAAGAATGTGAAATCCTGGAAAAGTGGAAGGTGCATGCAAGTTGAATATAAATTGTGTAAAAGATCCCTTTCAACTCAAACTATTCTATGATACTGCATAGCTTAAACTCTGAGGCAGGGGGAGTCCTGGAAGCAGTTCAGGCCCTTGGTTTAAGAGATTGCTATTTCTGGTACATGGGACACTCAAAAATGTGGTTTCAGCTCTTCCCCTAAAGCTGTTTCACTACTATTTACAGTACTACAGGAACCAAATAGGAAAGTATTGTTGAACTTCAGTCCTATAAAAAAGCTGATTAAAATATCCAGGGGATATTTTGGAGAGTGCTTTAGTTATACTCCCAAAAGAAGTTGCAAGTTGTAGACAATACTTTGCCTGCAGAATCCTTGGATTATTTGACTACAATCTGTATTCAACATGCCCACTCTCAGCCAAGAAAACCGTGTTTACAAACTGCTACTCTAAGTAGTTTTTGCCTCTATTCCAGCAGAAATAGAACAACTGGGTGTTTCTGTAGTATCAAACCTTTGAAAACCATCAGTACGGGATATGCAATAGCTGTGCTAAGAAATATTCAAAATAACCTTTGAAGTTGTGACTCCTCTACTCCTAGGTATTCCAGAACATAAAGGTGATTGCTCAGGTTAGTGCCTTATTGTCCTGGATGCTCTTGGAGTGAGCATTTCAATCAATTTTTGTGTTAAGTGAGGCAACTTTTTAAATGTCTATTGAATGCAGGAAGAAGTGGCAAAAGTAACAGGAATGTTTTCTTATTTTAGGAAATTAATATGTAACTAAGCAGGGCACTATAGCTTACGCTGGCAATATGGCTAAACTTGATGAATGGTAAAGCCTGATGTGTTCTGCAAAGTCAATGGTTGTATTGGCTTATGTGCTAAAATTACAGTGCATCACAATGTAGATAGTACAAGAGGGATGCCACACTGGTTCTGCTGAAATGAGTGAAGGAAGAGAAAATTCTTGTTTTTTTTCTAAAGTATCTTTGTCTTTGGTATGAACTATTTTTTTTCATGTTCTTATTGTGGAATCAATGATAACCAGTAAATAATTGCTGGGCTTTACCACAGCAGCTCAGAACACTAGGCTATTGTTTGCCGTTTCTTTCTGTTAAACTGCTGGGAAATGTGTACAAGAATTAATTGTTACTAAATTTGTTATCCCTGTGATAGTCTCCTCAGTGGTAGGGGTGGTTGCAATCACTGTCCAGAAGCACAGTGAGTAAAGCATCAAAGCTAAATGATTTTAGTTGTTTTCATCTAAACAAAAGAGCACTCCAGCGAATTTGTCACTTGCACTTCAGGTACAATACTTCATGTATCAGTATCCTGATTCTAGTTAGATGTTG